AAACGACTGGACCAACCAGCGGACTTTTATACTGCGACACTTGATTTCTACTGATTGAATCATCATTAAACTGAAGCCGCTGTGTCTGTGACACTGGTGAGGTTCATGACTTTCAGTTCTGCGCTGCTGAGCTGAGCACAACTAAAAACACGTGACTCGTGAGGTTCACTGCTTCCTGCCTCACATGACCTCACGAGACTGAAACTAATCGCTTCTTTAAATCGCTCTCTGGCCGGTTTTAAAGGAGCAGCAGCAGGATTCAGATTATTAACAGATTTAACACGAAACATGAAACCAGAAGGCTGAACTATGAGGAGCGATTAGTGAGTCAGCAGGTATGTTGAGTTTAGAGCATCACGAAGGCGTCTCTCTTTTAACCTGCTCTATCTCCATGGTAACGGATGCTGCAGAGCTAGATCTCCACGGTAACTGATGCTGTTTTAAAATAACATAAAAACAACCCGTTGACTACCGTAGGTGAGACATGATTGGTCCATTCTGTGCAGAGGAAGAGTCACATGATGCGTTTAACGCCTCATTTTATGTGAACAGAGCGAAACAAAAAGTCTGATTAGCAAAGAAAGTTGACAAACACCTTCTGACGTCTGACGTCTCTGACTGGAGTTTAGGTTTTGTTGAGCCGACTACCAAAGAAAGCCTGGATTTGTTGAACCTGCTCCGTGGCTCAGACTCACCTTTGTTGTTGAAGCGGAACAGGTTGACGAAGGAGCTGTAGGCGGAGCGGAGCGGCGGCTCATCCTGCTCCGGCGTCAGCGGCTTGAAGTGTGTCAGGTGGGAGGGGCTGCTGGGCGAGATGACGGGCGGCTCGGCGGTCCAATCAGCTGAGGACGAGGACGAGGACTTATCATCAGCAGCCATGTCACTGCTTCTGCTGCAAAGACACACATCAGCAGCACCATCAGGAACTGACCAGGAGCACTGATCACATTATTATGACGGCATCAGTGAGCTCAGCGAGTTTCTTCATCAGTCATTTTGCATCTGTTGTGGTTATTTTGTGTGTTTTTGGTCGTTTTGTGTCTCTTTGTGGTCATTTTGCTTCTCTTACAGTCATTTTGAGTCTCTTCAGGTCATATTGTGAGTCACATTAGTAATTTCATGTCTCTTTGTTGTCACTTTGCCTTTGACGTCTGGTGCATCCTTGGTGGTTGTGTCAATGTCTTCTTAGTTATTTTGTGTCTGTTGACAGTCCTTTTGTCTCATAACAGTAATTTTCTGGTTGTTTTGTGTCTTATTTTAGTTGTTTTGTGTTTAACACTGGACACTTGAGTCTCTTTGTGATTATTTTGCTTCCTTGCCGTCATTTCATGTCTGTTTTTGGTCATTTGAAGCTTCTTTCTGAGACATTTTGCAGGTGAAAGTCTCTGAGCCCAGCAGGTCTTGTTCTGTTAACCATAAACTAGACTTCTGTAGCCTTAACCTGAACAGTGTTCTACTGCTGCCTCCACAAGTGCAGCACAACAGTGTGTCCATGAAAACACAACAGCTAAAGTGGAAACTGAAATTAAACACACAGTGGCTTCAAACCTGTCACCCAAACCAAGTCCACATTTTAGTTTCTGTTTCAAATAATAACAAGTAGGGGTCCTCGGACCCTAATAAAACGCCACATCAGAGAGTATTTCGCTTCTATAAACGTCACTGTATTTGTATTTACAGTCATTCTGCCTCTCACACTGCGCATTTGTGTCTATTTATGATGACCTTTCATCAGTTTGGGGGTATTTTGTCTCTCTAGCAGTCACTTTTGTGTCTGATTTTGGTAGTTTTGTGGTGTTTTGCAGCGATTCTGCTTCTCATTTTGGTTGTTTTGTGTTTCACATTGGTAGATTTCCATCTGTTTCTGTTTGCTTTGTATCTCTTTGGGGTTATTTTGCTTCTCTTGTGGCCATTTTGTGCACTTCCGGGTCATTTAGAGCACATTTCCAGCCATTTTGCCTGTGACATTTGTCCTTTTTGTCATCACCACATTTTGTCTCTCACTGTGGTTATGTTTCTTCTTTTGTAAGCATTTTGTATGTTTATCGGTAAACTAACCCCACATACTGTTCATATTGTGTCTCTTTGTGGTTATTTTACATCTTATTTTTGTTGTTTTGTGTCTCACATTTGACTTTTAGTTTCTGTTTGTGGTTATTCAGCTTCTCTGGTGGTAAGTTGTGTGTCTTCATAGTCAGATGGCCTCTCATATCGCTTATTTTGCATCTAATCTTAGTCTCTCTCGTGGTCATACTGCACGTCTTTTTAGTCATTCTGTCTCTCAGAACAGTCATTTTCCATTAATGTCACTTCGTGTCTCCTTTAGTTTCCTTTCACGGTGGTTTGCAGCTCATTTCGGTCGTTTTGTGTCTCTTTGTGAGTCTGACTGTGTGTGGAGTGGTACCAGGACACTAAACTAATGAGGACGTGGACGTGTAGGTGTCACCTGCAGTTGGACATTGCCGTTTCTAAAACAGTCGTGATTGTGAACACTCCAGTAGTTGTGTTGTTGTTGTGAACCCACCCTGCTGCAGCACAACCTCACACACACACACACACACACACAACATCTGAGGTCACATGATCCCTAATGGTCCCAAACACGATCTCGTGACATGAACCGGTGCCTGCTTCATTCGGACCCAGAACGCGGAGCTCCATCCGCCGTGGTTCCGGTGGACCGTGGACCTGCTCTGACTGCGGCTCGGCTACGGGCCATGTCGAGCAGGTCCAGAGCCCATAAAGCAGAAGCTCATCATGTGACCAAACAGGCCGCAGCTGATACGGCTTCCTGACTTGAGTCCAGCTCGTGTCTCGGTTCGTGTTCACATGATCGGGAGGCTTCGTGTCGCCTGGACGCTGTCAGTCCGCGGGCTGACCACGAACCTCACACAACCCACATCTAACGGTTAAAGTCAGCTAGCTTCGAGCTAACAACCGTTCAGCTAGCTCAGTAAACCAGCCTCTATCCCAGTGAGCCTGCATGTCAGCATATCTACAACAAACCTTTGATAAACGTAAGGTTTAATTATGAGCACCACCTAACTGAAACCCCCAATAATGACTTAATTAAGCTATTAGGACCTGATTAGCTACCGTTAGCTTATTGATCCGCACAGAACAACTGTTTTTAGCTGAGCTAGCTAACTAGCCTCAGGTGGCAGCTAACCGGCGGGAGAGTCAGTGCTCCAAACACCGCCGAACCGCCGTGACAGCAAAGAAAAAGCAATTTACCGGTTCACTAAATGAGCCCGACATCACTGTGAAGCTCCGGTGAAGGCAGCGGCGGAACACCTGGACAGGAGCCGACTCCCGGAAAACAACGCGCAGCCCCGACCAGTCGAGCCCTGCAGCCGCTCTGCCCGCAGCAGCAGGCAGCACAGGTCGCACCCAGAGACATCGATTGAAGCGCTCTGCGGTCATGAAGCGACGCCGTCTGGATGCTGCTCATTAAAACGCGGAAAAAGCAGCAGTTCTCCCTCTGAAGTGGAGTAAAGGTACACAGGAGTGTAACATTAAAGTGCCACTACCTGCATTTTTCAACTTTTATTTTATTACAGTAATTTATTAGTTTTCATCTTGATGCCTGATGGAGGAAACAGCTGATCTGAGGCTGTCATCTGTGAGTAAATGCCTCAAATCAAATTAATGTTCTACGTGGAAACTTAACGAGCTCTTTTTACATGTGAAAATTGTCTAACCAAAGCCATTCTCTGCTATGATGGTAATATTTATATGTATTGCCCCTTAAAATAAAGTTAAAACACAAAAGATAAGAGACATAAATATGCAAAATGCCACATGACAATATGAGTCAAATCAAGGCCCTGGTATTTGCACAGCACATTTAAAGCCTCCGAAAAAAACCTAATGTAAATACTCAGGCTAAGACCCTACAGTGTCATTTATTATGTAAATGTATCAGAGTGAGTTAACGTTTGCAGTTAGGACCCTTCAATATTATTTAATTATATAAGCCCGACATCATTTTTAAATATATAATTTAAAATGCACATTTACCTGATTAGTGTAAATAATAAGGTTAAGAACCTACAATATAATATATAGATTATAAATGAACTTACAACCTTATATTGTCTAACAAATTAACTGATGGATTGAAAGTCAAGGTGAAGACAGTACAGTATTATTTATTATATGAATTAAGTAAATTAATTAAGTTAAATATTAGGGTTGAGATCCTACAATATTATATGTACTGCAAATGAACCTGAATAACCTTCATGTCCAAGTAATGAACCTACAATATATAACAGATTCCCTGAGTAATTTGAGCAGTAAAAATCAAACCTGGATTAAACGTTTAAACCTAAATTATACGTGGAGAACTCAGTGAAGTGAGGGAGGAAGGTTGTGGTGGAGGTATAGAGGAGAGACAACAAGCTACCTGAGACAAACAAACAAACAAGAGGACACAAGCAGTGGACAGGTTGGTGGAAGCAGCAAACACAGAACCGGAGCCAAAAATACCTTCGAGCAGAGAAAGAGCAGAGAGCTGCATAAAACCATGTGAGAAATCAGTTTTTGGTTGTAACTTGTATGCACTGCATGCTTTTAAATGTGTTTTATTAAATATAAAATGTCTTTTTGTAGAGCTAAAGATGCAACATCTCCCCCTGAAATGACAAAGTATACAGAAATCCATCCATTGTCTATACACCGCTTAATCCTCATTAGTATACAGAAACATAAAATAGAAATACTCCCATAAAGCACACGTATCTACCATTTGAACATGTTCTTAGCATCTAAGCGCATTTGTCTTCACATGTTTGTCTGCCTGTGATGGAGAAATGCGCTTCTTCTACTCCCAAAAAAGGAATTATTATCTGATGTGAGTTTAGAACAGTTCCAGCTGCTCTGTGCCTGAGGAGACAAACTCAGGGGAGAAATCTAAATGTTAAACTTTTCTGATTGGCTACCCAGATTTAGCCACGCCCTCTTTGCGCCTGCGCAGAGGCTCGGCGGACTTTCTGTTTACGTTTGAATTAGCAGCGTTCACCTGCAAACACCGGAGCTCTAACCGGTGAAAAGACGATTAAACTCTTCGTTTGATCGTCAGTTCACGACTGCAATCGAGGAATCCGTTAACAAGAGACAGACTTTCCTGCTGGTTAACGATTATTTCCGGTAAGTTGGTCCCGATGGCGGAGTTAGCGCCGGTTAGCCGAACTTAGCTGCCGTTACCGTCCGCTAGCAAACGGGAAACCGTTCAGTTTGATTTCAGTATAAAAAACTGAATTATCCCAAGTGTTTGCTTTGTTTTTGTCACTCAGGTCAAACTTTATCAAAGCTGCAACTTCAGTGATTAGTTGTCAACTATCTTGATGATCGATTAATATGATTTTTAAAGAAGAAAAGCGTCTAAATTCAATGTGAATGCTTTCTGGTTGTTTTTTTTTTACTCCTCTGTGACAGAAAACTGAATATCTTTGGACAAAACAAGATATCTGAGGAAACTCTGACCTCATATACAGCTGATCAATAATCTATTCATCAACAGAATAATCAACAGATTAATCAGAATCAGCTTTAATGGCCAAATACGTCCACAACATTCAGGGAATCTGGTTCCGGCTGTTGGTGTCGCCCAAGGAAGGAGCAGGAATTATAGAAATAGGAAAATAGAAAATAAAGTAAAATAACTCGAGAAAGAAAAAAATAAAATAATTAATAATTTTTAAAAAATAAGGTAAATATATACAAGAATTTACACATCTGAGCAGAAAAACAAACAAACATGTATTTAAACAATCGCTTTAAAATTTGATAAAACATCATTTTGTTTTCTCTGAATCTGCTCCACACAAAGGACTTTCTGCAAAAGGAGGAATTAATAGAAAATCTAAATGTAAAACGGTGTAAAGTGAAGCTTCAACAGCCTGAGGTCAGTTCAGTGGATGTTCTGGAGCTGATGTCCACCAAAGGATTTATGATCGATTATCATTTTGAATCATTTCTTAAACTGAAAAAGTCACATTTGTCCTTTTTCAACGTCTTCAGTGTGAATATTTTCTGTTTTCTTTCCTCTACAACAGAAAACTGCAGATGTTTGGACAAAACAAAACCTTTTTCTGACATTTTACACACTAAACAACCAATAAAGTTAATGATGCTGGCTTCAGGCCGGTCAGGTTCATTAGTGCTGCACATTTTAACAACAAGGCGGTTCAAAGTGATTTACATGAAACAGCATCAGGACAAACTGTAAAAGGAACAAAACGTGTATAAAACAACTGTTTCAACACAATTAAAAGAGTCAAATAGAGAATAAAGAATAAGATAAAGCAAAAACTTAAAGTTAAAATACAGTTTAACTTATTAGAAAGCTGCAATTTTGCTTTAATGAATTCAGAGTCTCGAGTTTTAAAGAAGTGAGACTTACAGCAGAGTTTGTTCCAGATTGTGTTTAATGCTGACTTTGCATTTTGTTCAGTGTCTGTGTGGAGAATCCGACTCCTGCGTCTCGCTCCAGTTGCTGGTTTCCAAACAGATTCATGTTCTGAAGATGTTTCCTGTGCCGAAGATGACTCCGTCCAAAGCGTCCACCCAGACGTCAGTGGCTGCAGCGAAGATCAAAAATAAGATTCTCAGTGAGTCTTTGTACCGTTAGTTTAGCGGCTCTCAGGTATTTTCTGAACGAGGAACAGAATTAATGCTGCTCTGCTTCTACCAGACACCTCGTCCTTCTTCAAGGTCTCTCTGAAGACCAACAACAAGGCCTTGGCTCTGGCGCTGGCGGCCCAGAAGGACCGATGTCGGCAGCTGGAGAAGGAGGTCGTCTTCCTGAAGAAACAGATGGAAGCCGACTGCTTTGAACGGGCCACTAAGAACTACAAACAGAGAAAACTGGTGAGTCGATCTCGGTCTCTGAAAGGTTCTGTTTGGTTCTTGGTGGTTCTGACTGCAGGTTATCCCGTGTTCCTCTACAGATCCTGGTGGTGAAGAACCTGCTGAGCAACGCGCTGCAGCACTGGAACATGGTGACGGACCTGTTTCCAGACGCTGTGAGAACAAATCTGTGGTTTTAAAACTGAACCAAAACAGCATCACGGTGATATCAGGAAAGACGTATCTGTGAACTAAACTAAATGACTGAACATCGGACCTTGACTGGGTTCAGAGGACAGAAACACTGAGATGAAAAATGTGTAATGAGTCACATCAGACTTATTCCAACAAAAATCAGCACGTTTTTAGAACCATTTCTGCTCAATGATGTCTGATTCGCCTGAAGTTGTTTTAACAGCATAAAATGTAGATCTGATAAAGTTACTTGTAAACGTTTAGATTGATATATCAACCAGTTACGAGATGCATTTCTTTACAATTCCTCGTCGTCCCACGTTCAGCAGGCTTTTTCTCACATTGAAATTTGAGGCTGAACTACTAAAGATAAAACCCTGAACATTTCTGTTATTTCTCATCATGTCACTGATCCAGAATCTGTCATGTTGGACAGTAGATGAAGGTTATGATTCAGTTGTTTAGTATAAAAGGAAGCCGTTCTCTCTACAGGATATAAAGTGGGTCTGAAAAATTATAAATATGCTCAAACTTATAAAGTATATTGTCTTAGTTATATTTAGAGAACCAGCTCTGTTCTGCTTGGATCAGACTGTCTCGTGATACTTTTAGGTTTACGGCAGAATAAGCAGCTTTCAGGTTTCACATGACAGAAACACGTTTCGTCCTGATGCAGAAACCTGTTTTTATCTTTAGTTTCTACTTCAGCTGCTTTAAAACAGGATTCACAGTTTGTTCAGACTCAACAGCAGCAACATTAAACCGTCGTCTGTTTCCCACAGGAGCTTCCAGAGGACTGTGCGATGGGACCTGAAGGCAACCAGGAGCACGTTGCAGCAGCAGGAAGGTCAGAGATGATTCCGTTTACTGTGACCGTTAGTCTGCTCGTCTCTGAGACATGACGGACGATTTCTTTTTATTTATGTCCTCTTCTCTGTTAAACTGGTGTCAGAGTTTTACTCCCACTAGTCCTGCCTGCAAACGCCGACGTTAGGAAAACGGCTGCTGAACATTTTACTGCCAACATTAAAACTCGTCGATTGTTGACTCGTTTAATTGTACGTTAGATCACCTCAATGATTCCTCAGGCTTCAGAGGGCAGCTGAGTGAACCTTTGAATGTTTTTCAGGCTCTCGGATCGTTTTCTGCTGCAGCCGGAAGCTTCACGGACTTCGTTGTGTTCTGCTGAAAGCAAAGCAGCCGAGCGGCCGGAGAGGATCTCCACCAGGGAGGACGTCAGCGAGGCTCCAGCTGTTTGTGATGGTGGGAGATGTGTTCAGTGTAAAATACGTGACCTCCTGTATCGTGTCTCTGACCCATGGTTCTGATCCGTGGCTCACAGATGCTGAGGAAAGATGTTCGGGTCCGTTTGCACCGGTGGCCCAGACAGGACGGACCGGCAGCCTGAGGGAGGAGGTGGATCGGCTGTCAGCGGTTCTGGCTCAGTCTGGCTTCGACATGACGTCCATCCTCTCGGTCCAGAACCACCAGACCTGTGAGCAGTCCGGACCGGCCGTCTCCTCTGACTCGGCTCTGGAACCCGAAGCTCCGCCTGCAAACAAACAGGAGAGAACTCTGCTGCTGGACACCACGATGGAGATGACGCTCAGCAGCTCCAATGAGATCGTCACGGTGGAAACCAAGAAAACAGGCCGCCCCAGCAAACCCAAAGGCAGAAAGACAGAAGAACAGACCCGTGCAGAGGAGCAGAACCCTGCAGGTGAGAGGTTCTGCAAAGAACCAACCGATGAGCCGCTGGAGGAGTTTAGAGATGCAGAGCTTCCATCATCTGAAACGTCGTGGAGAAGCGTCACCACGTCTCGCATCCCAAAACTGGGCAGGAATCAGAAAACATCTAAGAGCAGATTGAAATCCAGAGACATCGACCCACCGGACCTGGACGATTACTTCACAGATCCTGAAGTTCAGTCCTCCAGATCCAGCAGAAGTTCACGTGACAAAGATCCTGCAGAGGAAACACAATCTAGGATCACCTGCAGGAAATCCAGAAGTAAAGTCCGGAGGTCGTCTTCAGTCAGCAGGAAACCTTCAGTTCCTCATGAGACGGAGAACAGTTGGTCCAAACCTCAGCAGCTTCACCCTGAGGTCGACGAAGAGATGTTCTGTGCAGGTGAGTCCAAACAGGTGGAGCTTCTTCCTCCAAGCAACAAACGTCAGAGCAGAGCGAAGCCTGATTCTAGCCGAGGTCCGGCTTCCAGGTGCAGAGGGACGTTTGTGGTGTCAGTGGACAGAGACCACAGCTCCTCCAGCAGAGCTTCACCAGAACCGGGCCTGAGGCCTCCAGTAGGGTCCAGCTGGGAGGCAGAAGAACCGCTGGTGGTCCTGGATGGAAGCGAACGGTCGGAACCAGATCCATGCTCAGAGCCTCGGCGCTCCTGGAAGCGCTCCTGGATGGACTCGGAGGAGTCGGGGAGCTTTCAGGAGGACGTCCTGCTGTCGGACCACAAACACAAAAAAGCCAGAAGAGAAGACACGAGAAGATCCATCAAGAAGAGAGAGGAAGATGTTTCACATGAGAAGAGGAAGAAGAAGAAGAAAAGGCGGCGCAGCAACAAAGAGGTTGGATCTGAGAACGAAGCAGGTCCTGATCCCAGCAACGCTTCTCCTGGAACCAGAACAGAGGATCCACAGCTGCTGGACTCACATCCTGAAGACATCTTCCAACATCTGTCCTCCAAGTCCAAGTCCAGGACGGATCTGAATCCTAAACCGAGCAGGAAGACGTTCGACCTGAATCCAGCCACAGACTCCAGAACTCTACGAGGGACGTTTGTCGTCTGTCGGCGGAGAACTCGAGACAAAAGTGTTGGTGTGAACATCAGCAGGACGTCTGCTGCCGAGTCCGTCCATCAGGACGTAGGAGACCTGCTGATGGACGAGCTGCCGCCGTGGCTGGGCGTCGCCGTGAACGACACCTACGTCGAGTCCCTACCGGCCAGTCCTACCAGAGCAACATCCAGCAGGCCGGAGGACGTCCAGGAGTCGACCGAAAACTCTCCAGGTATCAGTTCAACCAGTGTTTAGAGGAGCTGAGCAGAGTTTTTAGTGCTGTAAAGAATCTGCTGACAGCTTATTGAAGATGAAGTGATTTTGATTAAATATCAGGACTTAAAGCTTAGAGTTGGTCCGTTTTTCAGACAGAACGTCACACATGTGATACTGACCGGTCAGAGCGAGTAAGTCTGAAGTCTCCAGGTTCGTTTCCTACATGTGAATCTTTTCTGGTTTCTTTCCTCTGTGGCAGTAAACAAAACGAGACATTTGTCATGTTGAGCTTCAGAGAACTCGGATCAACGTTGTTTCAGCTTTTTCTGCCATTTTAGAGACCAAACCGCTGATAGAGAGAATAATCAGCAGTGATCATAATGATCAGTGGGACATAACAGAGAGAGAAGCTGGTGGTAGAACTCTGACAGACTTGGGGAGACGATGAAACCTGCTGTAGGTTTGGAGAGGATGTGTTTTACCTGCAGAGCTGATATGGAAACGTGTGAACTGGTTTGTGTCTCTGTTAGCTGTTTGTGTGTCTGTTAAACGCGGCTGATTAACTGTTTGTGTGTCGCAGCAGGACGAGTGTTGACGTCGCTGACCAACACCATGTCGACTCCGGACGGAGACGCTGGAGGACGGACGAGGAGGCGGAAGGGCGTCGTCAGCTACAAGGAGCCCACGTTGAACAGGTGAGGACGACTCTCACCAGCCGGTACCTCTGACAGGAAGCTGCAGGGCTCATCAGGCTTCTGTGTCTTTGCAGCAAACTGAGGCGAGGAGACGAGCACACCGACAGCAAGTTCCTCAGCTCGCCGGTGTTTAAGGGCAAGAGGAAGAAGAAGCAGAAGGCGGTCCGAAAGCCCCAGATGGACGGATCCGTTTCACTGGACTGATCGTTTACAGTTTCTCTTTTTAACTGTTTCTTTCTAGTTTGCTCTGAAGGTCAATAAAGATGTTCAACTGGTTTTATATACTGAACGTATCTTTAACAGGGTTTTCCGGCCTCAGACTGGACGTCGGTCCATGTAGCGTCTCCGTCGCCTTATTTACCAGGAAGCTGTACATTTATTGTCATTTCTGACCAATTAGGCAAAAATATACTTGATTAAGTAAAAACCTGTTCAAATACAGACTTTATATTCTCAGTCCTTTATAAACAACAACAACTGTGTTTTTCTGTGCTGGAGCAGATATTTGCAGTACTTGTACTTGATTCATTTTTAATGCTGATACAGAAACTGTAGTTTTTCCTCCAGCAGTTACTTTACAGCTGCAGCTCGTCGTTATTGTTGGTTTAGCAGTCGATCGTTTTCTCGCTAAATCAGAAGTTGTTTGGTTTGTAAAATGTCAATAAACAGCCCAAGATGGATAAAAAAAGAAAACAGTCGCTTTAGTTTCAGTAAAAACTGAAACATATCAGTGAGCAGCTCGACGCATAAACACTGATTTACTAACGTGGTCACAGTGATACGGCTTCTTGAAGTTTTTCTATTCTTTTGACATTTCAGCTTGACGACTAATCTGGATGAAGAACCGTTTGTGTTCAGAACGTTTTATAATAAACTATGTTCAGAAGAAGAAAACATGAATCCAGAGTTCAAACTGCAGAACAGACGTCACATCTGTCTGTATTGTTCCCTTTATTATAAGTAGAATAGAAAAAAGCTGCAAGTTATCAGCTGTAGAGCTGCACGGTGCCTCGGTGGTTCACATCCCGGTGAGGACACCCGGGATCTTTCTGCGTGGAGTCTCCATGTTCTCCCCGTGCAGCGTGGGTTCTCTCCGGGTTCTCTGGCTTCCTCCCACAGTCCAGAAACATGTTGAGGTTAATTGGTGATTGTAAATTGTCCGTAGGTGTGAATGTGAGTGTGCTTGGTTGTCTGTCTCTAAGTGTAGCCCTGTGATAGACTGGTTACCTGTCCAGGTGAACCTGCCTTCACCCTGAGTCAGCTGGGATAGACTCCAGCCCCCCATAGTGAGGGTTAAGGTGTAGAGATGATGGATGGATTATCAGCTCTGCTATGACGGATTCGGTCGATTGATCTGTCTGTTACTTTTTTTAATCGATTGATTAATTTGCTGCTTGGTTTATAAAACATCAGAAAACAATGAACGAATGTGGATCCAAGTCCAGGATGACGTTCAGTTGACTGTCAGGATGAAAGAAAGCAGAAAATCAGAATTTAGACTTCTCTTAAAAACAAAAAAACTTTAAAGACGTCAACTTTGGCTCTGAGACACTGATGAATATTTCTCACCAACCTGTGATATTTTAGAGAAAAAAACTAAAAAAATAATCAAATCATTTGTAGATGTTAATAAACAGAAGTCTGGATGTGTTCGTGTAACTCCACAACCACACAGCACTGAGACGGGAAGGAAACCGGACTGCGTCTCATCATTGTTTCCACAATTTTCTGGATTAATCGGTTTGTTTGGTCAGAAAACGTGGATCAGAGTTTCCGCAAATGTCTTGTTTTTTCCACAGATGTTCAGTTTAGTGTCACAAAGGAAAATGTTCACTGAAGGAGCTGAAATCACAGAATGTTGTTTTCCTTAAAAAACGACTCAGACTCATGAATCATTTATCAAAGTAGTTGGTGAGTATTTTAATAATCCACGGCTGCTCAATCAACTGTCCCAGCTGTACTTTGCAGGTGAGGATGTCTGCACATAAACAGATTATTAATAATGTCATTTACAGACTTCTATTAAACCCTGCAGCAGTGTTTCTGTCCCTTCCTGCTGCTGGAGCTCCACCTGTTTCCAGGTAACGTCTGCTCTGCCGGTGGTCACGCTGAATTATTCAGTGCTGACTGTTCACCTGAGACTCCAGCTCCATGCTGCTGCTGGAGGCTTCGGCTGAGGTGAACAGAGACCCGTTTGGATGATGCTCTCCTGTGTTTGACCAGTTTCTGCTCAGTGGGTGAGTTCACGTGTTGAGCTGGTTTCCTGTGTGCTGCTGTGTTCTCTGCCCTTCAGCTGATGTCTCTCCTGTTTCAGATCTTCGGCTGATTCAGACTCAGTCTAGTTGAGTGTGTTGCTGCATCTCTCTGTAGGAGCTGATCAGTCAAACTAGAGTAAAACACCTCATCCAGCTGGTTTTAACGCTGACATCTCAGCTCTCTCTTCATGGTGTTGTGTTGAAGATTATTTTTCAATCAGCCTACACCCAATAACCCTGAAATGGAATCTTGCCTTTAGACTTGAGTCGTCTTACTTCAGGCTGTTGGACTTCTTGAGTCCCTCCAGGCTTTGCTTCATCTGGATCTCTGCTGTTGATCTCATTCTTCCTTCAGATCCTCTCAGACTTCATCAGACGGGTCATCTGAACCTCCACGTTCAGGTCTCACGTAGATGTTTTATGAAGTCTGCCCTTCACTCCTCAACACTTCAAGACACGTCCTGAAGACACTCTGGTGTTGTTGTGGCTGTTTGATTGGGATCATTGCGGTGCTGAAAGGTTTTGTCCTGTAGCATGATGCTGCCACCGCCGTGCCTGACTGTAAGGACGCTGGTACCAGCCGGTTTGAGTTCTGCATGAAGAGTTCATGTTTCTGTCCATCAGATGAAAGTTTCCTCGGGCTTGAAGACTCCCGTAGAAGCTCTTTTGGCAGAAGTTCCAGCTTCCAGTCTTCTTGAGTGAATCTCTACAGGCTTCATCTGGATTCAGATTCTCTCAGACTTCATCATATTAGATGGGAAACATCTGAACCTCCATCTTCCGGATTATTAAGGATTCAAGGCTTCTCCCTCATCAGCACTCAGACACTTGTGCCGAAGACTCTCCGGTGTTGTCGTGGCTGTTTGCTTCCCATCATCAAGGTGCTGAAGGTGTTGTCCTGTAGCATGATGCTGCCACCGCCATGCTTCACTACAGGGATGCTGTTAGCAGCTGATGAGCAGTTCCTGCTGGAGTTCTGCACAAAGACCAGAGAATCCTTTAAAGTCCAACCAGACCCACGTGTGTCTTTTACTTCTACACAACCACAAACACCTGAGAGTCATGGAGGACAAACCTCGGAAGCACTTCAGAAAACCTTCTGATGCTCCCGATAAAAACAGAAACCAAACAGGGACAATTACAGCCGATTAAAGAGAGACAGCACAAGGTGTCGACAGCGTTTGTGTCCGAGACAAAACTTTAAAGTCACATCGACGACACAGTAAAGCGGAGCGGCCGGATTAATAAACAGGACGTGATTGTTTTCTGCTGTTTCTGCAGAAGTCGTGCATGAAAAGATTCCAGCCAGAAAATGGAGGCGAAGCAGCTGAAGAGAGACGTCGAGGCTCTGATGTGAGTGAAACTAAAACCACACAAACCACCGAGAAACAAACTATGAAGGTGTCTCAGAGTGTTTCCTCCTTCCACACAGCGGCGACTACATCGGACAGAAGCTCAGAGAAATCTCCTTCGACCCAAAGGGGAAGGGGACGTCTACGATGCTGGACGACCTGGTAAACAGTCCACATGACGAGCTGATCGATTATAGATTATAGATAGATTGTAGATATAGATGTTTTCTGTTTGATGCTTCTGTTCCAGGCTCACTATGATCTGGCCATCAGCGTCGCTCTTTGGTGGTTGGACAAAGAAGAAGGACCCGATGTTCTGGACAGAGACATCATGTAGGATTTATTCTGAATGTTCAGCATCTGTTTGTACTGGTTTATATGTGCCACATCATATTCATAGTCTGATCTCAAGCATTACGATCCAACTCATCTTTATCTGCATGAATCTAAACCTTTTTTTTAATCCTTAGGTTTTCTTGATCAATAGTGACCAGTGTTATCAACCAATAACAGATTAACTGAATCAATATCCACCAGATTCAAACCACAGAGTCAGACCTGTTCCATCTGTCACTAAGATTCAGGAGCTCGTTGGTCGAGTTCATCTTAAACATGGGTTCTGGTTGGAGGTCATCAACCTCCACAGAAGTCTTTATCACGGTGCTGCTGGTGTTAAACAGTAAGAGGCTCCACCTGGGGCCTGGACTACGAAGCAGGATTTGGGCTTAGCGAGGTAGCTTCAGGTTAAATCCTGGGTTTTCGGTCCTACGAAGGTGGTTCTCTTCTTACCGGGTACATCACCATGGTAACGTAGCTGAACGGCTAACCTGCTCCGCAGCAGGTTCTGTTGGAGGTTGAGATCACTGGTATGAAAACACCTCCACTGGAAACCAGTTCTCTCCTGTAAAACTTCGGAAGGAGCAGAAAACGAAGCAGTTCTCAACAAAATGCCTTCATCAGCATCTATAGAAGAGCCGCTACACATCGGAGCTGGACTGTGAGGGACCACTGAGGAGTGCGAGGGTTTTTCGGGACCAGCAGAACCCCTTAGTGCCCCCTGACCAGGATCTCCATGAGCTCCTGTCTGCATTAGTTCATTT